CTCTCGTGCTTCCCGGTGCCGCGTCCATTGCCCGCTATTGCCGCGCCTAGGAGGTATCCGGTTCATTGGCCCCCCTCCCTCTCACTAACCGCGGCCGCCGCCCTGGTCGCAAGGGCCCCATGGCAAGTGCGCCCTCGGCTATGGCTGCGGCGGCGGGGGCTGCGGCCCCCGCGGGCCAGCCGCAGGGTGGGCGCGAGGCTGCAGCCGCCAACCCCGTCGAGTGCGTCATCTTGAAGTCGCAGCGCGGGGCTAACAAGCTGGCCGTGGCAGGCCGCGCGCCACCCAGATGTCTTCCTGCGTGTCTCCTGCACTCTTTACATTCCATCGCATGTGATCCACGCTATTCTAGCAACCATCTGGCGCCGCCGTCGGAGCCGCCGTCGACGACGACGACGACGGCGAGGACGGTCACGACGGAGCAAACTGACCAAAACGATAACGACGACGACCACAACGATCACGACGACGACGACGACGACCACCACCACCACGACGACGCGACGACGACGACGACGACGACGGGGGCGACGGCGGAGGCGACGACGACGACGGCGACGACGGCGACGACGACCACGACGTCGACCATCCATTTCCGGGCCAAAGTGTTTGGCCCGAAAACGCTCTTCAAGTTTTTGCAAGAAAATGCTCTTCAAGTTTCCTTGAGGAGTCCAGGCGCTCCGCCGTTAAGCTCGCCCGTTTCCAGAAGACAAAGAGGGGCGGGCATCGAGGGTGTGGGATCTTCGCGTTGAATGGCACGCGGGCAAGTAAGAGCGAACAGTCTTACAACGCTGCTTATTATTGTTGTTGTTGCTGTTGTTGTTGGTGCTGTTGTTGTTGTTGCTGCTGTTCTTGTTGTTCTTGTTGTTGTTGGTATGCCGATGTTAGGGCGTTCCGAGCGTCGCTCCTTTGGCTGTTCGGGTCTTCGGCAAAAGAGGGGGCCGTGTTCAGGTGTGGCCGCGTTCGGCTGTTCCTCCCCTTCGCTCTGCTCCTCCCCTCTCCTCCGCTCCACTTAATTTTCACGAGCCTGCTGCTCCTCTGTCGTCGCGCATCTTCTCTCTGCGGTTAGCCTAGGGGCCGTGATTTCCTCGGACAGGCTACGTGTTCCATTACAAGAGGCAGAAGAAGGGCGAGCACATATGGCGTTGCCGGGCACAGGACGCTTTCTCTTTATTCATACCCTTGCCTCACACGTGTAATGTTGCCCGACCCCTTCTCCCCCAGGGCGAACTCCACTCCGCACATGGCTCCGCACGTCTATTCGGCAGGCTTCTGGCTCATTGATTTGCGTGCACGGGGGCGGCTCGATCATTTGTACAAGTGTGGCTCCGCACGTTCGTTTTGAGCAGGCCTTTGCGCCACTTCTGTCAGGGACCTGAAGCTTCATGCCGTTTGTAGCGGTCTCTTTCGTTTTCTCTGCCACTTCGATTCGTTTGTAGCCTGGCGCTACGGAGTGCCGCCCTCTATCCACATGGGTACTCCCGTCTCTTTCCAGAGTGTTCCTGGTCAGTTTACGTGGCGCTCGCGAGTCTTCTCGATTCTGCAACTGTACGGGCGCGGACTCATGGGAGGGGGCCGCTTCCTCGCTTCCGCCGCGCCCATGCGACTTCCTTTACATCTCGCTTGCGCGCTGGGTGCGATCGCCTCACTGAGCGCGGGGGACGGTCCGGGGTACGACTGCGCTCCTTCGCGGGCTTCCCATTCCGTGATCCCGCACACGCGACGGACGCTTCTTGGCTTTCCGGGGGGGGGTGCTGGTGAGGGAACCCAGGCGAACTGCAAGGCGCTCTTGATCACGACCCTCGATGAGGCCACTGGCACGCACACTGTCGTCGGCACGCCGCCGCACCACGTCTGCGGCATGCCGGATCCAGAGCGGGTCCGCGCCACCGTTTCCTTTTCTCTTTTTTGTGCTTCTTTCAGATGGCACTCGGAGTCTCCAGGGTGAGCGTTTCGGGCTCCATGGGCCCAGCCTGCCGAGGTGCGGGCGCGGCCCCCGCTTCCACGGCCGCGTCTTTTCATTGCACCTCCAAGCTATCGCCGCGTCTCAGTTCCATTTCTCTCTCCCCCCCCCCAGCTCTCTCCTGTGCAGGTTGCGCGGGAGGTCGCTGCGCAGGAGCTCTCGCGGCTCGCCGTCGAGCAGCCTTTTACACCGTGCACCCGCGTGGTGTCGGACGTGCTTGGCGAGACCGACCAGCCTGACAAGCTCGCCATGCCCGGCAACCAGTCTTTGAAGAAGAGAGTGTGGGCTGCCAGGGCATCCGAGAAGGGCAAGAAGCTGAAACAGGGCGAGGACATCGAGGAGCCTGACTACAGCTCCGTCAGCACCGTTTGCATTCCCAAGGCTCTGATGAAGTACGACGACGACCCTTTTCTCCTCTATGACGCGGGCCAGCCTGCAGGGGAGGATCGCTTCTTGATCTTCGGTACAGGCGCTTCCGTCCAGACTCTGGCAACGTGTTCTCGTTGGTTTGCAGATGGGTCTTTCCGCATATCTCCAGAGCCCTTTGTACAGGTCTATACGATCCATGGGGTTGTGGCTGGATACGCCCTTCCGTTGCTTTACGCTTTGTTGCCTAATAAAAAGACAACGACCTACGTCCAACTCTTCAACGCGGTGCGCCTCTTGGTGTCCAAGGTCCCTGGCGTTAAAGGCGTCGCGGGGGCCGTGGAGCGGATCAGTCTCGATTTTGAATTCGCGGCATACAAGGGCGTGTGCCAGGTCTTCCCCGGCGTCGCCGCAGACGGGTGTTACTTCCATTTACAACAGGCAATCATGCGCAGGATCCAGGATTCCGGCCTGACGCAGAAATACTTCGAGGATCAGGCCTTCAGGATCAGAGCGCGCTGCCTTGGCACGCTCTCATTCCTCCCCCCCGGATCGATTCCCGGCGCCTTCGAGCTCCTCCGGGGGGAGTTCCCCCCAGGCGAGCACCACTTGCTATCGTACTTCGAGCACACTTGGGTCGGGGAGCTCGACCGTCGCAAGGTTTCTGTGACCGCCAAGGGGCCCCCCAAGCGCGCAGCTCCACTTTTTCCTTTCGAGTTCTGGAGCACGCACGAGAGGGCCCTGAAGGGCGATGAGCTGACGAACAATATCGCCGAGCGGCGCTCTCCTGGCAGTCCGAAGGGATGTCTTTCCATTTCCCTCCTCTTTCTTCTGCTTCATACGGGGTCGGGCTCTTCGTCGACCACGGGGCCTCCACCTCCGGGCCATCCTGCCCTCGCCCACGGGGTCGCATCCAAATCAAATCGCCAGACACAGATGACTTCCCGGAGAAAGCTCTTCCCGGGGACCCCCGCGCATCCAGGCATAGTCTTCGCGTGCGCTTGTCCTGGGTTCGGGATTCTCCAGACGCAGATCCGATGCATTTACTCCCTGTTGGTTGCAGGCTCCCCTGTTGATTACGTCGCGCCCCAAGGCATGGCGCGCGAAGCCCTTCTGTTGGGCGGTTCAGAATGCTTTCCAGGGTACTGCCCCAGCTATGCGGAAATCCCACTGGTTCCGTTCCCCGGGGTCGTTCCTTGGCCGCGCCCCCTCGGCTTTCTCGCGTTGGGCGCTATGCTTCAGTTCGCCATTTCTCCCCGGGCCTGCTGTCCACCCGCCCAGTCGATCGAAGCGCAGGGGTGTGCCATCGCTTTTTCCGTTTTCTACTGACCACCTCCTTTTCCACATTCCTACCTCTTTCGTCTCCACCGCTTCCTCAGGATACCCCTCTATACTTTGTTTCCTCAACCAGCGGATCCGCAGGTTCCACCGCGCATTCCGGATCCAGTTGCACCACGGGGCGAACAAACCGTCCATGGCGGCATTCTTGGAGGCGCGCGCGCAGCTTCATTGTTCCTCCCAATGTCGTAGTCGTACTCCAGGTGCCTTCCAATCTTCTGCTCTCCTGCCCCCTGTCTTCTCGCGCCCGCTCGCCGATTAGTCTTGCGTCATCCCGCCGCCCTGGCGCTCCTGATCTGCGGCAGCCTGCGCACGCTTCGCTTTCATTTTTTGCGCGCGGCGCGACGCGAGGGGGGAGGGGGGAGGGGGGGGGGGGGGTTGCAGGTCGGTGGGGGCCTCTGTTGCTGCATGCTCGGTTTTCCCTTCGTTTGCCTCCCCCCATTGACCTCCTTCTGCGGGGTGCCCGGCAGGCGCTCCACGGGCAGCAGAGGCACACGGATAACAACCTGAATCAGATTGGCCTGGGCCACGTCAAGGAACCCACGGCGCGGTGTAAGTCGAGGACTCTCTTTTGCTGGATTTGCTCTTTGTTGCGCGACCGGGGGCGGCGCGCGTTCACAGGACCGCCCACCCGAGTCCACTCTATTCTATCTGCGCCCATGGTCTTCCTAAGTTGATATCTGCCACACAGACCCCCGACCCCCCCCTCCATTCCCCGCGTGTGCATTGAGATTCTTTCTTCCGGGTCGGTTGGGCCATCCAACGAGGCGTCCTTTTCCTACATGGTCATTCCCCGCCCGTTCTGTTGCATGTTCGTGGGCATCCCCCTACTCGTCCGCGCCCCCTCACCCGCGGACATCCCCCAGTCCGTGGACATCTCCCCGCCCGTGGACATTTGGAATACTTCCTGGGGTGGACTGCCACCTAGGACCGCCATTCGCACTCATTCTGCCGTCTGCGGTTTCTGCGTGCTTCTTTTGCCGCGTCTGAACGCGCGCGCGGCCGCCATTTCGCGCTCCCATCACATTCTTTCTCACGGGACTTTTCTCCAAGGTGCCGGTGCTTGGACAACCTGCTGAACGCGTGGTTGAACGATTTCGACTCCGTCAAGTGCGTCCGGGCCATCGCGCAGATGTACATGGCTATGACGGACTGAATGGAGCGACTTCTATCTGCGATGTTGCCGCCCGCTTCTTCCGCCACATCGCCCTCCCCTGGCGCTAGTCGCCCTCCCAGAGCCGTTCTGGCTCAAGGCAGCGCGACTAGCGCTATGCACTCGCACTCGGCGCCCCCGCCTCAACCGCTGCGGCTATGGTTCGGACCCGGGCCACGAGAGGCAGAAGAATTCGTTCAGCGCTTCTTTGAGGCGCAACAAGATTTCAACCTTGTATCTTGCGAGCTTCTCCTGCCGCCCGGCAGCGTTGGCTTCGTCGTCGAGATGAACGGGGCCGGCCTGGCCTGGCTCATGGACGCCTTCCCTGTCTTCATCGCCGTTAGCTCTCAGGCTGCCCGCGGAGGGCGCGCTGTCACGATTGCGATCGGCGGGCCGAGGGCTTACGTTCCCAGCGCTGTTCGAGAGGCAGTCGCATGGCTTCTGGCGGGTCCGCGCGTAGCCGCGGCCCCTGCATCGAGCGCCTTCCCTCGGCGACTGGGCGGGGGACTTCCAGAGTCGCCGGTGGACCTCGCGAGCACGCAAGAGTACGGTTCCCCTCCCGATGTCGTCAGTGGCCTCGCGGCGGAACGCGCGGAAGAGGCGGCCGATGGGCTGTCCCCCACGCAGCCGGTCGGCCCAGCTCGACCGCTCCTCTGAGCCAGCAACTGACCATGAGGTGGCCTCGGGCGGGGTGCGCGCGACGATCGGTGACCCCGGCAACGTTTTCTATGCCAGTTTCTCTGTCCATGCGCGTGGAGGCGCGGGCCATTTTTCCGCCTGGCCACGTCGCAGTGGACATGCCTTCTGTTTGCCACTGGTGGAGGCTAGCTTTGCGCAGTCCTCTAATCTCACTTGTCCCTCTCCTTCGCGCGCCTCGGGATTCCTCCTTCATGTCCACTCTCGGGCCTTCCACGCCACGGACAGATCCTCTCACCAGCTTCTGGCATCGCTCGGACGTGTGCATTTTTTCTCGGCGAGAACCATCGAGGACCATCCTGGACCATCGAGCCAAAAATACACGCACGAGACCGACACATGCACAAGGAATGGACGTCCGAGCGACGGCGAGAGCTCCCCTACCCGAGGATTTGGGACCAAGTCCGCCCCTGGCATTCGGCGCATGGTGCGCCCGAGGTTCGGCCACTGCCTCGTCCCAGGGCTGTGCTCCCGTGCCGTCCGAGCGCTCCCGCGCAGGGACGGCGCGGCGCGCCCCGGGCGTGCCGCCAGAGGACGCTGCGTCCGAGCACGCTGGTCCTCGGGTGCCCATGGGGCCGCGAAACGAGTGAGGGGTGTGCTGAAACGGGCGTGGCGCGCACATGTGGAAATCCCGATGTGGCCACGCAACGTTCGAGGGGTGTGCAGGAACGGTGGTAACGCCCACAATGCGGACTCTGCCAGTGGGGCTGTAGGTGCAGCTGCCTATGGGGCCACGAAACGTGCGAGGGGTGTGCTGAAACGGGCGTGACACCACATGCGAACCCTGCCACTGGAGCGTTAGGTGGAGCTGCCTGTGGGCCACGAAACGTGTGAGGGATGTGCCGGAATGTTGGTGGCGCCCACACGTGGACCATGCCATTGGGTATGCGGAAATTGTTGGCCAGGGGCCGATGTCGATGAGGATGACGATGACGTTGGATGATGACGATTACGAGGTCGGTAATGGTGATGATGATGATGTTGATGATGATGCTGCTGCTGATGATGATGACGCCAATGCCGATGACAACAATACTAACGAGGATCTTGCTGATGATGATTGTGAAGCTGATGATGGCGTTGTTGTTGTTGGTGTTGCGGTTGTGCTTGTTGTTGTCGTTGTTGTTGTGATTGCAGTTGTTGGTGCCGGTGTGTTGGTTGTTGTTGTGGTTGCTGCTGCTGTTGCTGTTGCTGTTGCCGTTGCTGTTGCTGTTGCTGTTGATGTTGCTGTTATCGCTGTTGTTGACGATGGTGCTGATGGTAGTGGTGGCGATGCTGATGATGATGTTGATGCTGCTGGTGATGATGATGACGATGCTGCCGATGCTGACGATGCTGATGATGATGAGGATGGCGATGATGCTGCGGATGATGATACTAATGCAGATGATGATGAGGGAGGGGGGAGGAGGATGAGGAGCAGGACGAAAACGAGGAGGGGGACGAGGAAGAGGAGACGAGTAGTGTCAGCTAGTGTCGTTTAGCGTCCTTTAGTTAGTTTAGTGTCGTTTCGTGTAGACTGGTGTCATTCAGTGTCCTTTATTGTCTGCTCGTGTTCTTTAGTGCCGTTCAGTGTCCTGATAGTGTCGTTTGGTGTCGTGGTAGTGTCGACTACTGTCAGTTTAGTGCCGTTCGGTGCGGTTTATTCTGCTGTCCCACAAGACAGCCTCAGCGGCCCCCAAGACAGCGCCAAGGCGGGCCAAGGGGTCCGCGAGGTGGGCTTAAATGCCTTCAAGAGGGCCCCCCAAAACGGCACAAGACAATTCTCTTACAGGACGGCCCTACAGCGCCCAACACGGCCCCCAGACGGCCCAGAGCGGCCCCCAAGACGGCCCAAGACGGCAGGGCAGGCCAAGAGCGCCTAACGACGGCATCAGAGGCCCACAGGAGACCCCAGGAGGCACTCATGAGGACCCCAAGAGGCTCCAGTGCTTAACCGCACACGCATTTTTGCTCAAGCGGCTCAAGACCTGGAGGCACACCGGTGTTTGTGACCATGTCTGGCCACGGCGGCTCCCGGACGTGCCCAGTTTGGGGGTGCGTTTGCTCTGCGAGCCCTTGGTCCGGACATAGCTCTGTGAAGGCGTTGAGCCGGAGCACGGAGCTGTGCGTGGAACACCTGGCAGTGGCCGCCGGCGATGCGACGGCCGTGGCTGGAAGCAGGCGTGCGCGGCAGTCGCTTGGAGCTCGCCGCGTGGTTGGCGCGCTCGAGAAGGACGAGCCTTTCGTGGTCATCCGCAGTTTCGGCCGCGCCGGCGTCCTCGAGAGCATGGCCCTGTCCTTCTTCGAGAAGGCTGCCGCCCCCGTTTTCCTCGCGCTCTGCCCCGAGGACCCGTCCTTTCACGAGTACATGGAAGTCTGCGGCGCGCAAGGGGAGGCTGGGCGAGGGAGCGGCCTTCTGAGGAGGCCCGGGGCTTCTCAGGACTCCCCGGGGGTCTTTCGAAGGCCGCGGTTTCTAGGAATCCCCTTGGTTTCTAGGAAAGCACCCCCCCTCGACCATCCGCTCTTCGCGCGCCGTCGAGGACGTGTACGGGAAGTGCGTCTCTCGAGTGCTGCTTGTGCCGTCCGGGACCGCCAGGGCAACGCGCAGCTTGCTCGCGATCGCTCGGGAGGCAGGCCGCGAGGGCGTTTTCGTCTGCGACGACAACGTGAAAGGCTTCTTCGTGCATACCTCCGGGGCTAAGCGCGATCCCGAGGCTGCTCCTGCGAAGACGTACCTCACTCCGGCCCAGGTGCGGCAGTGGTTGCGGGGGATCCCGCAGGACGTTCGAGACTCCGGCAGTGTAGCTGCCAGCTGCCACACGATCCAGATGGGGCCCGGCAAGTACCGGCAGGCAGTCTTCCAGCGGGCCCACGATAGCAGACGCGTTCGTTCGCGTGACTTGCCCTCCGTGCTCGAGGCCCACGTCTCTCAGGGATGTTTGTACGGGGCTTTCTCCTACCTCGCCGTGGGGTTGGGCCCGGGGTGCCTTCCCGCGGACTGCGCTGGCGCCAACCCGCGGTGCGATTCGGAGTTGACTGTCCGGCTGTGGATGCTCGGCCACTCCTGGCTCCGTTATCGCATCTCCGCAGACAAGGTGAGTTGCGCCGGCGGCCAGTTGGCGCTGTTCAAAGGGTCCGAGGCGAAGCGGGTCGCCAACGAGAAACGCAACGAGCGCCGCATTCTCAAGTGGGCTCTCAAGGACGCCCGGGAATGTCCCGGCCAAACTTGAAGAGCATTTTCGGGCCAACCTTGAAGGGCATTCTCGGGCCAAACTTGAAATCCATTTCCGGGCCAAAGTGTTTGGCCCGGCCATGGATTTCAAGTTTGGCCCGAAAACGCCCTTCAAGTTTTTGCAAGAAAATGCCCTTCAAGTTTCCTTGAGGAGTCCAGGCGCTCCGCCGTTAAGCTCGCCCGTTTCCAGAAGATGCGGTCGTGGTGGAATTCGTGCTCGCCCTTGCATACGTGGGCTTAGGCGCTGGGCTGCCCCTCTCTGTTTCTGCGCGCGGACAGCGTCGCAGGCACAGCGGCTGATCTCGCCAGGGCGATCCTGTGCAATATGCTCCTCCTCGTCGCCATCGTCGTCGTCGTCGTCGTCGTCGTCGTCGTCGTCGTAGTCGTAGTCGTCGTCGTCGTCGTCGTCGTCGTCGTCGTCGTCGTCGTCGTCGTCGTCCTCGTCCTCGTCCTCGTCGTCGTCGTCGTCGTCGTCGTCGTCGTCGTCCTCGTCGCCGTCGTCGGTCCCGCGGGGCCACCTTGGACTCACTTTGGGATCATCTTGGTGCAACCTGGGCGTCCTATCGGGGTCGTCCTTGTGCTGCCTCGGGCTCGCCTAAGCCTATGTGGCACCTTCGGGCCGTGGGCCATACAGGGGTTTAATCGGCGTCATAGCTCCTCTTCCTCGTCTTCCTCTTCCGCCTCCTGCTAGCTCTGCACTTGGGGTGGAGACAGCGAAGGGTGGGGGTGCTACCAAGGGCAGCGGCGCGTTCGGGCGTTCGTGCGTTAGGCTGTTCGGGCGCGGGGCCGTTTGGCTGTTGCCGTGCTCGGGTCTCGTCAACGTCGTTGTCGTCGTCACCGCCGTCGTCTTCGCATTCGTTTCCTCCGTGCCGGCCTCGGAGGCCGCGAGGGCCCCAGGAACGTGAAAAAACGACCTCGGTGATCCTCGAGCCCTTCCTCTGCTCCTTCGGCTTCGGGCCCCGCGACCGCGACAAAAGCGAACCGGGAAATCCTCGAGTCCTTCGCTTCCCCTCTCCCTATCCTTCACCCTCCAGCCGCGACCCTCGAGTCGCCTCGTGGTCGTGGTTGTGGTCGCGGTCGTGCTCGAGGTCGTTGTCATCGTCGTCGTCGTCGCCTGAACCAACCTGATGGAAGTTGCTCCCATCCCCTTCGGGGCAAGCAGTGATGGGAGCCCCTGCTGCTGCTGCTGCTGCTGCTGTCGTTGCTGCTGCTATTCTTGTCGTTATCATACTGATGTTCCTCTCGTACTGTTGTTGCTGCTGCTCGTGTTGTTGCTGCTGTTATTCATGTTAGTGTTTTTGTTGTTGTTGTTGTGTTGTTTTTGCTCTTCCCGGTGTTGACGCGCCTCCCCCACTTCCGCTGCGTGTGGCGGGAGTCGTCGTCGTCGGCGGCACTGGTCACGGCGCCGCCGCAGACAGCGTGGCGGGGGGCCGCATGAGGATGATGACTAGGACGAGCAGGAGGACGAGGAGGGGCCACGCGCAGCTGTGGGGACCCGGGGGAGGGCCAGAGGGAGGAGAGAGAGAGAGAGAGAGAGAGAGAGAGAGAGAGAGAGAGAGAGAGAGAGAGAAAGAAAGAGAGGGAGTCCTTTCTTATGCCCTGCGCCGCGCGCCGCGCAGGAGATTCACTGAGCGGGGGGTCCGGCCGTCACTTCAATTTGACGTGGCGGTGGCGGGGTGTCTACTGGGACGGGTATCAAGGGAAGGGGAGGGGGCCTCTGCCCGCGTCCTGTTCTACATTTTCGGGGACCGCTCCTTTTCTGAGCCACCGGCGGCGTGCTGCTTGCGGGACTTCTACAGGGTGAGGTCCAGCATAGATTCCTCTGCTTCTCTCCGTTTTACGCCGTGCGTCGGTCGAGCCGGCCAGTGCGCAGCTTCCGCTGCTCTCGAGCGTCCGTTTGCGGCCATTCCAGGTGTGTATCTCTCAGTGCGCCAGGGCAGCCGTTGGGTAATCCGCGGGCAGGATGGCGCGCGCACGCCTCCGCACGGACCTCTGTTACAGGTTCTCGCCCTGCTGTTCCCGGAGTCCCGGGGACGACTTTTTATCTTTCACGTGCTCGAATATGCATCATGCTTCGAGAGTCGTCGTCGCACCCACTCGCCTTCGGCACATCCCGCCGCTCTGTCTGGGATCTCGGACGATTGTTTTTTCCACGCGTGTTCAGATACGGAGGCCTGTTGGGGGGTTTCGGGGTCTTCTCCGATATCCTTTTCTCAGGGCCTCTGCTGGCCATACTCGGGCCCTTTCGCTGTCATGCGGGCGCGCTCCGTCCTCAGGAGACCTCCGGGGAGGAAAGGGGTTGGGGGCTTGTGCCCTCTTTGTTTTCTTCGGGGGCGATCTCGCTCAGGGGGGGGCTCCACTTTGCGCCTCCGGGCGCGGTTGCGGATTCTCAACCTGGCCCAGTCAACTGGGCAGGCCGTGGCAGGACAGGTTCCGCGGCCCCGTTGCACAGCGCGGCGGGTGTCTACGGGAGGACGCGATGCGAAAATTGTGCTCTTCCACCGCGCTGTTCTGTCTGAGCCCGCGCTTCAGCAGTCAAACACTACCGCCTTCATCGATTCACCGTCCGAGACGGCCGTTGCCTGCGAGGACTGGCCAGGAGGGAGCGGGGTGCTCACGAACGCGCACACACTACTCACCGGGAGGGTACGTACGCCAGTTCTCCGGGGGTTCTGGTTCACGTCGAGTGGGACCCAGCGTTGTGTCACCTTCACCCACATCAGCATCACCATCACAATCATCATCAACCAACCATACCACCATCACTCTCGCGCGCGGGGTGCTTCCGCACGCGCGCGCGAGGTCCGGTGATTGTCTGCCTTACGCTCGCGCGGATCCCCCTTGCCGGCAGGCCGGACTCGGCCAGTCCGAACTCGGCCGGGGGCCGGACCCGGCCGGGTCCGGACTCGGCCAGAGGCCGGACTCGGACCCGGCCGGACTCGGCCGGCCGGACTCGGCCGGCCAAACTCGGCCAGGTCCGGACTCGGCCGGCGGCCGGACTCGCCCGGCCGGACTCGGCCGGCCGGACTCGGCCAGGGACTAGACTCGGCCAGGCGAGACTCGGCCGGGGCCCCGGCTGCAGCGCGAGCGCCGGCCGGACTCGGCCGGGCGGAACTCGGCCGGCGGAACTCGGCCCGGCCGAACTCGGCCGGGCCGGACTCGGCCGGCGGCCGGACTCGGCCGGCCGAGCTCGGCCCGGCCGAACTCGGCCGGCCGGACTCGGCCGGCGAGACTCGGCCGGCCGGACTCGGCTGGCCGAGTTCGGCCTGGCCGAGTCCCGCCTGGCCGAGTCAGGTCCTTGTCTCGTCTGGGTGCCCGAGATCCAGGCTTTGGGGCCGCTGTGTCCGACGAAGTTGCTGCGGAGCTGGCTACGTCTACGAGCCGAGACGCGCGGGGACGTCGAGGGTTTTTTCTTCTGCGTGACAGGGGTGGCCGATCTCAAGCTTGTTTCCGCCGACACATTCCGGCGCATGCTCGCTCGTCACCTCAACGACGCACAGGTGGGCAGCCACTCCCTGCGGAAAGGCGGGGCGCAGTGGTGGAAGAACGCAGCGTCCCTGCCCGAAGAGCTTGTGCAGGGCCAGGGCGGCTGGTCTTCCATCGATGTGATGCGGAACTTCTACACGAAGTTTTCCGCAGCAGCTAGGAAAGAGCGCCTGCTGGAAGCCGCCGCCCGTGCTGCGTGCTCGGTTGCACAGCCGTCTGCGTGCCGACCGGCGAATTTGGATGCATTGCCGGTCTGGCAACGTCCAATGTGATTCCTTTGTGCTGCGCAATGAAAAACATTGAGACGGCTTGGCATCCTGCGCTGGCGTCCCCGTCGGTCCACGCTTCGCGCCATCCTCCCGGACGTGCGCCTCGTGGGGGTAGGTGGCTCTCCTCTTCTGGAGGCGCTGCCGTGGCCTGCGGCAGAAGCAGCACTCCCAAAAGAGCCACATCCGTGGCAGAAGGAGTTTTGTACATTCCTTACGCTTCGCGTCCCTCCCGGCCGGGTGCCCTTGTCTTGGGTTTCCCCGGGGCCCTTGCGGCCTATGGGGGCTGACAAATATGGCGGTGTAAAGCGGAAAGCGTTTTTTCTTAGGAGGCTGTGCATTCGGGAAATGTGGTTTTCGCGGCCACCCCATCTCATTCGTTCCTCTACGCGCGCACGCGCGCAGGCCTGGGAGGCGGCGCCGCGCGTCTCGCGGTCCCGCCCTCCCTCCCTGTGTGGCGTGACGTGCTGGTCGCAATCCGCTTCCCTTCGGGGGGGTAGGTGGCTCTCCTCTTCTGGAGGCGCTGCCGTGGCCTGCGGCAGAAGCAGCACTCCCAAAAGAGCCACATCCGTGGCAGAAGGAGTTTTGTACATTCCTTACGCTTCGCGTCCCTCCCGGCCGGGTGCCCTTGTCTTGGGTTTCCCCGGGGCCCTTGCGGCCTATGGGGGCTGACAAATATGGCGGTGTAAAGCGGAAAGGGCAGTACGGGCGGCAGGCGCGATCGCCGGCGCCCGGCGCGGAGCCCGCTAGTCCGGCACCTTGGGGAGCTGCGCGATGCGGCCCGCAGCCAGCCCTGCGAATTCAGCCGTGCTGCCGCCAGCGCAGCGGAGGCCTCCCAGGAGCAGCACCGCCTGCCCGCGCGCCGGCAAGCGCTCTCGCCAGCCCGGACAAGCAGTGGCCAGCATCGCCTCCGAGGTTTCCGCGCTGCCGCCGCAGCGCAGGCAGCGGACCTGCCCCGGCCTCTGCACGAGGGAGCGAGGCCACCGGCCCGCAAAGAACTCGACAAGCATGGCGCCTGCGCTGACGGGCTCGGCACTGGCGCCCCGGCGAGGCCGTGCTGCAGGCGGGGCCGCGGGCGCGTGGCCGGCGGCGGCGGGGCTCGGCGCGGACGCCGCGCGAGCGCGGGCCCCTCGCCAGACTGCGCGCCAGACACGCCAGCGGCGGCGCTGGGGGGCAGGCGCCGCAGCCAGGGCTGCTTGCTGGGCAGCCGCTTGCACCCGCTGCCCCGCTTCCTTTCCGCTTCACA